GAATAGGTACCCAACAGGCAGGCATTACTGGATGAAGGATCCTAAACAGTGGAAACCCTGTGAGCAAAAATACACATGCACAAAGGGGCAGAATAAGGACCACCACCCCCATGTGGATGTGACTTCAAGATACTATAAGGTAACATCCAACACTTCTTAAGCTTTTACTCTTTTGTTAAGGGCTTTTATATGGATATAACACCTCAAAACCTTATGAAGCCAGAAACACTTATCCCAACTTTACATTTTAGGAAAAAGAAGTATACAGGGCTTAAGCAAGTCCAAGGCCCCAAATCAAAAAGGAATGTAAGCCAGCAGTCTGACTTCAGAATCCATAGTCCTAAACACAGTATTACTAAGGCCGTATATACTATAAAATTTTAAATGTTATGATCAAAGCAGAGGCCAGGAACCTTCAAGTCTATATACCTGTTTTTGCTGCTTAGTATTCCCTGCACAAAGTGTTCACTACACTTTTGACCACCTTCTCCGAAGTCCTAATGGAAGTCAAGCCTAGCACAGGAGTGAGCAGCACCCATACAAACACAGCCCCCTTCTTACCAGATTTGAGCATTGCGGGTCTCCTGAAACACATTAGGAAAGTATTTCTGATCCAAACCAGAATGAGGTGACAGTAGGGGGCAGCCTTGCCCTAAAAATAGGTGAATTTTATTAATTTATTATTCTTTACATGACTATAAACCTCCCTTATGCGGGGTATGCAAAAGATACATCACCTTTCCCTTCTACTTCAGTCTTGGCCTATCCTTTTCTTTCTCAGTTACCACCCCATTCCACCCCAAATTTTACCTATCTTCTTTTTGACTGCCCTGCTTCACATTGTGGGGGTTTGGGGGAATTTTTGCCTTCCATGTTTTTTAAACTAGTCATAACTGTTTCCCTTGACTATTTTTTTAATGGCTTTGAACATAAACTTAGTCTCACCCAAATGGCCTCATACATGCAAAAGAGCTAAAACAGTACAAGCGAGCTAGTAACAGAACAAACCTTAAGTATCTGACTAATCAATACAAAAATAATATCTGAACAAATATACAATATAGAATCTATCTTCATCCAAATAGAAGACCTAGAAACTAAGTACCTTCCTAAAATATGTGCACTGTGATGTTTAGAGGTTTAATCTTTGAGTCACTGCTTTAGGGAATATCACATATATATGAATCTACTGAAAACCAGAGCCCCAGTCCTGGGAAACACATATGTATAAAATTATATGAGAAATTTTTGAGAGCTCATGTCTCCTCCAAAGGTCATCCACAGAAATCCTTCTCCCAGGGGTCAACGGACTTCCAAGTTAAAAAAAAAAAAAGACCTAATATATTCCACTGGTTGGAATTTTCCATTATTTATAGGTATAGATGCAGGGATCCTTATGAAGCACTTCCTACCAAACCACTAAAAGTAGTAGCTATTATTTTTATTCTCAAATAAACACTTTATGAAGTTGGGTTATTTTAACTAGAATTTTTTCACACTTTCCATCACTTTTTTGAAAAAGATCTCAGGAGTGGACTAGTTACTTTGTGGCACAAATTCCAAGAACATTAAGAGGAAGGTGACAGGAGAGGAAAGCACGGAGCGGACTGGTTAGAGGGAATGGTATACTTCCATAAAGGGAAGTACACAGTGCTATGTACACAACAGTGCTTGATCAATGACTGGATAATTCAGACGCCATTTTTTAATTAAATGTGTAAAAAGTACTCCTTATTTTACAAGCTCAAAATCAGACAAATGCATGAGGGTGTGTAACCGTCACATTTATAAACTGTATCCACCCAAAAATTCAGAGGACACAATCCATTTACATTCCACATCTGCGTATCTACATGACACCTACAAAGTACAAAATTAACTCCCATTACGTATTTTACTTCAGTACATGTGAAATAGTTTCAAAACAAAGGCAGTATTTTTCAATCAAAAAAACCAAAGGCAATTTTTTTCAACCAAAGTACTAATTCATTATTTTGTGCAAAAATACAGTATGAAGGTTCCATCCAGGTTTAGTCAGCAAGATATGTTTCTATGTTACTGATATACACCTAAAGTTTTTTATTTGAATAACCAAGGTAACACTACTTCTGATTTACAATTGACCTAAATACAGTGGATGCTACTTTTTAAATAACATTTTTAAAAACTGTTTTTATTGATTTTTTGATGTTTGATTTTTTGAGAGAGAGGAAGGGAAAAAGGGAGAGAGAGAGAGAGAGAGAAACAACGATAACCCATTGCCTCCTGCATGTCCCCTACTGGGGATCGAGCCCGAAGCCCCAGCATGTGCCCTGACCAGGAACTGAACTTGATCCAGTGATCTCTGGGTGCACAGGATAACCCTCAACCAACTGAGCCACACTGGCCAGGTTAAAAATAGCATTTTTTTTAATCTTCAAAAGTTGCCCTGCCGGTATGGGTCAGTGGTTACAGTGTCAGCCCATGGACCAAAGAGTCGCAAGTTTGATTCTGGTCAAGGTCATGTAACTCGGTCAGGTTGAGGTTCAGTCCTGGCCTGGTCGGGGTCGTGCGGGAGGCAACCAATCAATGTGTGTCTCTCACATCTATGGTTCTCTCTCTCTCTCTGTCTGTCTCTCTCTCTCACTCCCCCTCTCTCCCTCCCTCTCTGTCTAAAGATAAATAGAAAAAATATCCTCAGGTAAGGATTTAAAAAAAAAACACATTTTTTTTTAATCTTCAAAAGTTAAATAATACAATTCTAAAAGTATATGTGCTTTGCCATCCATTCAATAAACATGATGTTAATACAGGTCACAAAAGTTCAATTATAGTAAAACCTCGATATAAAAGACTAATTTGGGGAGAGGGGGTAACCGTTATATAATAAAGCAGGTTTTCTGAATACATATGTTTAAAAATGGACAAATTAGTTAGGTTACCTGTTTTTACTTATGTAGACACATCTGTGTAATTAAAATTATGTATGAAGAGTTTAATTTCACAGAAAATTTTTCTATATGTATTACAGTAATTTTAAATTTACACTGACTAGGTCTAGAAAATGCATGCATTCACCAGTCACAGCTGGGGCATGGTTTGGCGCACACAGGAACATGGGCTACAGAAAGGCATGCCACGTGACAACAGAACCAGTTACCAAGCACGTGTGATCACTCGCTAATCATTCACTGAACATTGTTTACAAGCGGTGACTCTTGGATTTAAATATGTAGACTATAGTTGTAAATACGTAGTATTTATGTCGGCAAAATTACAGTGCTTTTTCCAACATATGGCCTATTCATTAATTTGTTAAAAATAACAGTGAATTAATCTAAAACATAATCTGTTAATTTAATTATAAGCAAATCTTAATTAAAAGCATTTTAAAATTAACAGTGTTATTTTTCATATACGACATTCGGACCACAAATTTTGTCCATTAAATCTGAAGTCTGTTAAATCGAGGTCCACAAAATCAAGGGTTTATTGTAATTAACCTGAAATCATTTCCTTCCTGCTATTTCAGTCTTAAACCTGACTTTATATCAAAAGCAGCAGTTCAGAATTTATTTCATAAGATCAATCCCAAAAGTTACTGGGTGGTTTTTTAAACTACTTCACTCTTTACAAATATAAATCATAAAATAGTTTAGAGCAGTGTGGGGAGCTCTCTGAAATTTGCATGGGACCCACCTCAGAACTAATGAGTAAGAATCTTCCTGAATGTTGGGGTGTGGGTTTTTTTAAAGTTCCCAGGTGATACTGATATGCATCCCAGTGTGGGAACCTCTTCCCTAGACCTCTAGACCAATGGTTCTCAATTTTTAAGATACATGGATCACTTGAGGAAATTCTTTTTAAAAAAGCAAAACGAACAGACAGATCTGCTTCAGTAGACTGAGGGTGGTATGCAGGAACCAGCATTTAAGTAACCACTGCAGCTGGTCCACAAACCACTCTGAGATACAATGCACATCCTTTGTCATATAATAATTGAGTACATTCAGCAATTCAGGGGACACTGTCCTGCCAGCACTAATGAATCCTGCCCTAAGCAGTTTTAGCTAGTACTTGAGGGCAGCATGTAGCCTTTTAAAATATAATGTATTCTTAAATATAATGTTAAAGTCAAGTGAATTGTGAGATCATAATCCATTCATTAAAGAAGGTAAAGGCTTTCAAACAAACTATTTAAACCTTCAAACAAACCAGTTCTTAGGACTCTACTTAAATCTAATGCCTTCTCCATCATTATCCTGCTATGTGACCAGAGGTATTGATTCCAGCTTATCAAGAATGTAATGTAGATTATAAAAGATAACACATTCTAATCACACACCTTCATAGATTCTGTATGGCCTTGGTGTAACAGACTGAAGACCAGCTGGATATCAAAAGATATAAAAGAATAAATAATATATTCTCACTTTAAACAATGAAACTTCATATTTCCCTCACATAAGTTTATACTTATGTTATGGGGAGGGGATCTCTAGAAAACAATAATAGTATCATGCTGCCTCTTTTACGAAGAAGCTAGTTACCAATTTTCCACAATTCTTGTCATTATCTATAAAACTGGTAGTTGGTATCTATCATTCTACTTTAGAATTTTTTTAAAGCACAAAAAAAGTAATCACATGTAAGGCCACAGCAAATCAGAGGATAGAACTAGCGATTAGACCTATTTGGAAAGTTGAGCTATCTTATCAGCTTGATGACAGTGTGTGAGGACTCTATCATAAATATTTCAGCATATGTGAGTGTGACAGCTCTACACCACCCCTGCCAAGCGCTGAACCCAGAAGCTACACAAGAACTAAGTAGCAACTAGGAAGCAGATAGAGTGTATGGTTAGTGGAATCTATCTGGCATCCTCCTCACCGAGCCTATGTCTAAGATGCTATTATTTGCTGCGTACACATGTTCTTCACAAAGATTTATACCACCTCTTTTCCAGTAGCATTTGACTAAACAATTGGCATTTCTTCTTCATCAACCAACAAAAAGACAACTGCCAAAAACCAGCATTGTATTCCAAAAGAGGTAAGTCATTTCATGAAAAAAGGAACTGAAACTTATAATTCCACAGTAATTAGGAAGCTAAAAAACTCATACTAATTTTTAACCACTTAAAGTCTAGACTGTTAAAAAAAAACAATCAAACCATTTTCCAGTTCATAAATGATTCAAAGCCAAAATAATGAATTTTAAAATTAAGCAAAATAGAAGTTGAAAAGTTACCCATAAATATCCAACCAAGTGACATTTTATCTTTTACTTTGGGGGGAAAAAAAGCAGCAGCAGCTTCTTAAATGGCTAAAATGAACATATAGAGACAGTACTTCTGGGGAAAGGATTTCAAACGAGGACACAAAGGTGTAAGGCACTACCTTAACTTCAGTCTACATTTGAGTCATCTTAAAACCCCGGAAACATGGGACAGGGGAAGGAAGAACACGCAGACACATTCAACTGTTCATGTCCTTTTCGCTGGTCTGGCAGTTAACTGCTTTTCTCTCTCAAATTCCTTCTCTCGTTGCTGCTCCCTTTCCAGCTCTTCTTTTTGCCTCTTCTGCTGCAGTTTAAGTGCTCTTTTCTACATCAAACATTCAAAAACCAAGAGAATAATCAAGGCTTATCATTTATGGCGTCATTTAAAAGTAACAGTGCTTTGATTTGAGGTAATCAATACATATAAATAAATTTCATATTTAACTTTTAAAAGCATTCTGGGTAATTAAAAGTCTATTTGAAACAAATAAACAAATATTTGCTACTCCATTAAATGAGAATTGCAGTGACATGCTAAGAGAATATGAGCCTATTAGCCCAGCTATTAGTAAAAAAGCCCAGAGTGGGGTTCAAAGGGATGTTTTAAAATAAACAGTTAAAAATAAATAAAACAATGTACCGTGAATTAAGTATATTATTGTATACGGATACATAAGAAGTCAGAAAATGAATACTGAAGAAAAAGAGACAATTAAAGCTCTACTTTTATAAAGAATGTAAAAGAACTTTCCAACTCACTTTTAACTTAGATGTCTTTTCATGAAGCATCAGCATTTCTTTCCTTATATTCACCAACTTGGCATGATAGTGTTTCGCTTCAGTGAACTTGACATGGAAAAATAAAAAGTCAAGTTCAAAGAAACTGAAATCAAAATGGATAAATAAATCAATGCCTAAATTACAGTTTATTCTTCCTAAATTGGTCAAAATTTTTAAAGCCTTACTATCTCCACAATTTAATTCCAAAATTAAAATCACATGTAAACCATTAATGGGATTTTGAAAACATATGATTCGGTTCAGATTGATAAAAAGTTACTAAACATAAAATTGATTATTTATATAGTATACAGATAACATTTGCTTTATAAACATGCACCATAATCCTTAAATTTCAGTAAGACTACCCAATAATGCTACCGGTTTCATTTGAGAAAAGTAAAAGACTCTCTCCTACCTTTACAACGGAGAGACCAAGCCAGGACACACGGGACAGTGCAGCGTCTGCCCACCGTGTCTAGAGCCCTGAGAAGGCTGTGGGCTTTTGAAGCCGACTAAGCAACACCTCTATAAGAACACTTTTCTTCCCAAGGAGTTAGAGGTGTAGACCTTCCATCTCAGCCAGAGATGGCAGAAAAGGAAAAAAGCGCCTCCTTCTCAGGCAAGACAACAGAGAAGACCAGGCAACAAAAATGAGAGACTAGCAACCTTCATGCAGCAATACATAAAGTCACAGTCTGGTAAGCTCTAGAGCTTACAGATCCTCTCTCTCTCTTTCTCTCTGGATCTTCCAGTTTTCAGTTCCTAAGTGATAATCAGAACAACTCTGAGGAAGACTTAGTTTCTGCTCCTTCAGAGAGACGCAACAGTATTACATCTATTTGGTTTTATAATTCAGTAATTCAACACATATTCATAGCCTTGCCCATCTCCTGCAAGAGAAATCGAGAACTACAGAGCAGAAGACTTTATATTTACTACCACAGGCCTCTGCCTAATGCTAGAGAACATGGACTTCCTTTTTGAATGTTATAAAAGGAAAACATTAATAAGCCACATTTGCCCAACCAAAAGTCCATTTACTGAGGTATGTGTGAAAGTCCGTAAAATCATGCAAACCAAGTTATTTGTAATGTTTTTGTGAAGAGAAAAGTAGTTCCAAGTTCCTTATTTTTGTTCATTCTTATTTCTTAAAGAGTATCGGTTCCTCTCATCAAAAAGCTACAGAGCTTCTGATGAAATTCAGCTACTGTCATTTATATTAAAAGCTTTAAAGCGTCCATAAAGGAACTTCAAAGAGTCTGTTTCAGCATTAATTTGCTATAACATTATGAAAATGCCATACGAAAGTACAAATTTTAAAAAGCAAGTAGTTGATAAAAAGAGTTGCACTTCCCTTAAGGGGAAAAAATTGTATTCTAAAAATTTCTTACTTTTAAATTCTCTTTTATAAAAATAAAGATCTATTCTAGACTTCCATAAATAAGTTCTATTACCTATCACAAGTTCAACATTTGAAAGATTACAATTCAAGACAACGAAAGTTCCAGTAAAGTAAATCAAAGTTTTCTATTAAAAGATAAATTCTAACCTTTAAGAAAGTGGAGGAAAAGATCCCAAACATACATACGCATATGTACAAAGTTGGAGAATAAACCTACCTATATTAAAACAAGATGTCATTAAGCTATGTCAACTAAATCATACTTACCAAAGCATTAATATCCAACATAGAATGACATTCTTTAAATTTTGAAATCTCTTGTTCCAGTGTGTCTAATAACACAACTTGGTTCTGCCTGCAACAAAAACACACAGCCAAAATAAACATTCTATACTCTAACTGCTGGTTCATTAAAAGGAATCACATTCATCTTGGTTAATGTTAAAGGTAGAAATTAAGTTGGAAATTTATTGATTCTCCAAACCTTAGCATAATTTTTTTTCTTTATTGATTTTAGAGAGAGAGAGAGAGAGAGAGAGAAAAGGAAACTGGCCACCTCCAGCACGCCCCCCATTGGGTATCGGGCCCACAACCTACGCATGTGCCCTGACCGGGAATCAAACCAGGGACCTCGTAAGTGCATGGGCTGACGCTCAACCACTGAGCCACACCGGCCAGGCTAGCACGATCTTTTTCAAAATAATATTCCAAAGTCACATTCCGATAACTAAATATCTTTTATTCTTGTTTCAATTTCAGATTCTAGAAACTAAAATCACCAAATCATTTAAAATGACTTTATTATTTGTTATTTTTAGCAACTTTCTGTGTTGTCCCAAAAAAGTTTTTTATACTGTCTTGCTCAAGAAACTTGATGTTTTATATACACTAAAATTGGAAGAATCCCACAAAGGAAATAAGGAGCAGTGACTTTTCAGAGTTGGGGAAAATGCAGTATCAAGGGATAATAAGTCTAAAGGGATAAATAGGAAGCAAGTTGAAAAAAAGACTAATAAGCACAAGATTCCCCTACCAATAATCAGTTGTGTGATCTTAGAAATTTAGTTTATTTCTCTGAGCCTAAATTTCTTCATTTATAAAATGAGAAGGTCAGACTGCATAACTTCAAAGGTTCCTCATAAAAATTCTGATTCAAAACCCACTGATTGGCCAAGCTAGGGTAAAAGGTCATCAGTCATCATAGCAGCTGGTCCTAAAGTCAGCTATGATGTAACTTCTTGTTTTGCTACATTTCTGGACATGGAGCTGAAACAAAACTGAAGTCTAGATATTACCTCTAATGTGAGTCAGAACCTCATTGTCTTGATGCCTTAATGTGAAGGGTGTGGTGGTGTAAGGGCTTGTATGGGAGTAGTATGAGGCGATTCTTCCGCCCCTAGTTCCTCCTCTAAGGGGGTCTACAGCATGACTAGGGACATGCCAGAGGAGGAAAGGTCAGGGGAGAATCCAAACCGCATGACCAGCTATATGAAAGGTCAGGGAGTTGAAACTGTATGACCAGTGATATGCTAGGAAGGAAAGGTTCCCCTGGGGAAACACCTGCCCTAGGGGAAAGGTCCTACCCTACAATACTTGTTTTCCCAGTTTTACCCGTTTTTAGGCACCCAGGGCTTTCGGCCCTGGTGACCTTCTGTACCTGGCCTATTGCTCCTACTCTGCTCAAGTCTGTCTAACCGCCTACTATATCATATTCATTAGAGAAACTGAATTAATAAGTAATAACCTCCCAGAAATGAAAGCACCAGGACCAGAGAGTTTCACTGGTGATTTCTACCAAACATTCAAGGAAGAAATCATGGCAATTTTTCATAATCTCTTCCAGAAAACAGAAGTAGAGGGAACATTTCCTATGAGGCCAACATTATCCTAAAACCAAAACCAGATAAAGACATTACAAGAAAGAAAAATCTACAGCCCAATGTATTTCATGAGCATAGATGCAAAAATCCTCAAAAAAATACTGGCAATCAAATTTGACAATGTGGGATTTACTCTAAGTATACAAAGCTGGTTCAATATTTAAAAAGAAGAAAAGAAATCACATAATCCTACCAGTTTATGCAGAAGAAAGTATTTAATGAAGTCCAACACGATTAATGATTAAAAACACTCAACAAACTAGGGACAGGAACTTCCTCAACTTGTTAAAGAATATCTAAAAAAAACTATAGCTAACGTCAGACTTGTGGTGAGAAACTAGATGTTTTCCCCCTAAGATCAGAAACAAGGAAAAGATGTCCATTCTCACTACTCCTATTCTATGCCACACTGGAAATCTTAGCTAATGCAATAAGAAAAAGAAAGGAAATAAACGGTACACAGATGACAAAAAAATAAAACTATTTCTGTTCACAGATGACATGAATGCCTATGTAGAAAACCCCAAAGAATCAACAAAAAACCTCCTGGAACTATTATGTCAGTACAGCAAGGTTTCTGAATGCAAGGTTAATACATAAAAGTCAGTTGCTTTCCTATATACCAGCAGTAAACAATAACCCCCTCAGATTTATACTTTGGTAAAATCTAACAAAATATGTACAGGATCTACATCTATATGTAAAAACTGTTAAGACTCTCAAGAAAGAAGTTTTATTTGTTTTTTTTAATTTATTGATTTTTTTTTTAAGAGCGAGAAAGCAGGAGAGAGACAGAAACATCAATTTGTTGTTCCACTTATTAATGCATTTATTGGTTGATTCTTCTATGTGCCCTGACCAGGGAATGAACCCACAACCCTGATATATGGGTACAATGCTCCAAGCAACTGAGCAACCTAGCCAGGGCCTCAAGAAAGAAATTTTTAAAAAGACATAAAATAGCCCTGGCCTGTTTTTCTCAGTGGTTAGAGCATCAGCCCTCCAACCAAAGGTCACAGGTTTGATTCCAGTCAAGGGCACATACCTCAGTTGCAGTTCATTCCCCGGCCCCTAGTTGGGCTCATACAGGAGGCAACCAATCGATGTGTCTCTCTCACATCTCTCTCTCTCTCTCTCTCTCTCTCTCTCTCTCTTTCCCTCCCTCCTCCCTCCCACACTATCTGAAGATAAATGGAAAAATATCTTCAGGTGAGGATTTAAAAAAAAATTATACAAAGTAGTCTTAAAACACAACAATAAGAAAATAAGCAGCCCTGGCAGGTTTGGCTCAGCAGTTGGAGCATCGGCCTGCGGTCCAGAGAGACCCGGGTTCAGTTCCCGCTAAGGGCATGTACCTCAGTTGCGGTCGTCCCCAGCCCTGGTTGGGTCATGCGGGTGGCAGCCACTCAATGTGTCCCTTTCACGTCGATGTTTCTCTCTCTCTCTCTCTCTTCCTCTCTCTCCCTCCCACTCTATCTGAACAACAACAACAAAAAAAAAGGAAAAATGTCCTTGGGTGAGGATAAAAAATAATAATAATAATTAAAAAAGAAAGAAAAGAAGCAGCCCAATTTTTAAATAGGCAAAATACATGAAAAAGAAAGAAATCTTACCATTTGCAACAATGGTATAAACCTATAGGGTATTATGCTAAGTGAAATAAGTCAGACAGAGAAAGACAAATATCATATGATTTCACTTACATGTGGGAGCTAAAGAAAAAAATAAACAAAACAGACTCACAGATACAAAGAACAAACAGATGGGACAAACTGATGGTTGCCAGATGGGAGGGGGGTTAGGAAACTGGGTAAAAAAGGTGAAGGTATTAAGAAATACAAATGGTAGTTACAAAACAGTCACAGAGATGTGAAGTACAGCCCAGGGAATACAGTCAATAATATTGTAATAACTATGTATGGTACCACATGGGTAATAGACTTGTGGAGGGTAATGGACTTATGGGGGTGATCACTTTGTAAGTTATATAAATGTCTAATCACTAGGTTGTACACCTAAAGCTAATAAAATACTGTATCAACTGTAATTAAAAGTTAACTTTTAAAAAAGAGAAAAAATACATATGCTCTGTAAACAAAAAAATAAGAAGGTAAAAAAAATGTTTTTAATATGCACTAAATAAATATCTATTATATAATCACAACTTTTTCTGATCTTTGTACCAGGTTCCTGGCATGTCTATTCTAAAACACTTAGAATTTTCTAAAGATAGGAGTATCTTTGTTATTCATGAGTCCCTTGGAATGACACCTCAGTTTATGCTACTGAGGTGACCTATAGTGGGCCCCTAGAGCTTCAAGTTGGGGCTGGTCATGCCAGAAACATCAATCATGTAGTCAGAGGGTTGGGGTTTGAGCCATGATATCAGCCCAAAGAAAGGAGGGGGGCTGGAGACTAGTTCAGTTACATGGCCAATGATTCGATCAATTGTGCCTACTTAATGAAATCTCATTAAAACTGTGGACACAAAGTTCAGTAGAACTTTCTGGTTGGTGAACATATCTGGGTAGGTGATGTGCCCTAATTTCACTAGGGAAGGGCACAGAACCTCTGTATACAGGATGCTCTCAGACCTTGCCTTGTGTGTCTCTTCATTTGGCTGGTCCTGATCCATATCCTTTATAACAAAACTATAATCATAACTACAATGCTTTCTTGATCCATGAAAGTTTAGAAAGCCAGAATGCTGTCAACTCCCTAACTACAGTAGTATACCAGATATAGAACACAGTACTACTTTTATACTCATTTATCACCTTCAATCCAAGGATTATAACATTACTTCTTAATATTTATAGAATGGACACACTTGAGTATCTCTCCTTTTGCCCTAATCAAGTCTTTTGAGATAAGTTGTCAAAGAGTAGGTCTTAGAGAAGCAACAGCTCAGAGTCAGTTTAAAGATGAGCATCATAAAAAGAAACAATAGGCCAGTCTGGGCAATCCAGAGAGATCTTGACCCTAGAGGAGGGAGAAACTCAGTTTCTGGGTTCCAGGGAGCTAATAAAGCCAAGTGTATGTCTTTGCATACTGACCCCACTCTATGGGTTCCATTCTTCCTTATCTTGTTCCTAATGTTTCCTCCAATCCTTTAATTAGCTAGTTGGGTATGAAAAGGGCCATCTAAAATAAAAGATACTGCCCTGGCGGGTTTGGCTCAGCGGATGGAGCATCGGCCTGTGGACCAGAGAGTCCTGGGTTCGGTTCCCGCTAGGGACACATACTAGATAGATAGATAGATAGATAGATAGATAGATAGATAGATAGATAGATAGATAGATAGATAAAAGATACTTAAGAATTTCTGGCAACTCATGAACCAGCAACTGAATACAAGTGTGACTCTTATGGATGCAATTTTGCAACTCTACTCAGAAACAGGTGTATACCTATCCTGCAACATTCCCAATAGGCAAGACTTTTAATAAAATAATGGCAAAACACCAAACAATCAAAGTCTGTCCTAGCTGGTGTGGCTCAGTTTGATAAGCAGTGTTCCATTCAGTTTCACTTCCCAGTTGGGGCACATGCCCAGGTTTCAGGCTACATCCCCAGTAGGGGGTGTGTAAGAGGCAGTCGATCACACTGATGTTACTCTCTCTCTCTTTCCTTTCCCTTCCTCTCTCTCTAAAAATCAATAAAAAAAAATATTTAAAAATAAAAACTAATCAAAGTCTAGATAAGATTTAGGGGTACTTCTTAGAAGCCAAATACTCCAGAGGTATTCATTTCACTTTTTGTATTTAGATTACTATGAACTCCTCCACTCCTACCTGCTATCAATAAAGATGTAGAAATTCTCAATTGTATAAAATGTTACAAAATAATATACCTTAATACAGTATATACTTATACAGTAAATGACTATAGCAGAGGGGAAATGAGTGCATCTCTGGGTTTGGTTAGCTCACGTGAGTTCCTGCAGGGCTTGTTTTGATCTCTGCAGATCTGGTAGGTAGTGAGAAAGCAATCCTTCTGCCAGTTGCTCCACAGCTTTATCTTCTACAGTCAAGTCCTCTATTAAGCCTTCATCTGGAGAAGTGTCACTTAAACCTGTCCCCAAGAAAAAAATCAAATTTAAGTTGAAACAGGGATAATAGAGTAGTAGGGAGGCAGGGAAGGAGGCCGGCAGTGGGGTTGAGCACACATGTACAGGGTAGTACAGGTATCCTTCTTTTCTCTTCTTTTTTTTAACTTTTGCATTCTGAACATCCTCTAAAAATGGATTATGAGCATTCAAAACATGTTTTGAAGCTACTAGTATTACATAAAGTCTAGATTAAAAGAATATTAACTAATGCAAAATTCTCTATGTTTATGTACTTTTCATGATGGAGGATTTATAGTTTTCAATGGATTACTAAAGGAGTCTGAGGCTTAAAAGTGGGAAACAGTCACTGAATAAAAGCAAAAAATTCTTCTTTTCAAAAGTATGCAGCAATTAAATATAAATATATATAAAATCCTTACCCGAGGACATTTTTCCTTTTTTGTTGTTGTTGTTCAGGTAGAGTGGGAGGGAAAGAGGAATAGAGAGAGAGAAACATCGAAGTGAAAGGGACACATCGAGTGGTTGCCACCCACACAACCAACCAGGGCTGGGGACAAACTGCAACTGAGGTACATGCCCTTAGCGGGAACCGAACCTGAGTCTCTCTGGACTGCAGGCCGACGCTCTAACCGCTGAGCCAAACTGGCCAGGGCAAATCTATATATTTTAAAAACACAATTCTAAAAATACTTTCTTTATTTTTATGGAAGTAAAAATATGAGTCAACATTTATTTTGTATACAGCTTGTTATATTACTTACATGTAAAAGGGGCTATTTTGTCTTCTTTTAGGAAATTTTCTAAGAATTTCTCCTCTCTTGAGATTAACATCTTAATTTACTATAGAAAATAATGTATAATGTCTTGTGTGTAAATCTATATGTGACACCAGGAACTATACCTCATACTTTTCCTTTGAATAAAAGCACTGTGAGCATTGTACCAGGCATTCAAAATGATCTAAAATGAATACCCATCAATCATTATTACTACTAAGACAAGTACAAAACAACTGCTAAACAGGATTCTGTGATTGGTTTGTAAGATTTTAGAATGAGAAAAAAAATGAGATGGTCACATTATTAAAATTGTACTCTAAAAGCCTTTTTAAACTAATATTAAACTCTGAAAATCTCTCTTTAATCATAATCTGGTAATAAGCAGAAACATCAAATTAGATCATTATATAGAATACATTTATCACGACGTATTGCTTATAACCCATTTCTAAGTTCAGTGTTTCCAAGATGTAAATTTTGGCAAGACCAAGGAAAACAACATGCTGTCATATTCAAAATAAGCTTTTAGAGATCAAAATAAAATTGTATTAATTTTAATTCTGATCCTGAAAAACATATGAACAAACTTTGACATTCTCAAAGTTGTAAGGCAATATTCAAACAGGTAAGAGCTAACTAAAAACAGAGGCACTCCACAAATGAAATAAATATAATGGGAGCCCTGGCTGGTTTGGGTCAGCAGTTAGAGCGTCAGCCCATGGACCAATGAGTTGTGGGTTCGATTCTGATCAAGGGCACATTCCTCGGTTGTGATTCGTGGCCCTGGTTGGGGTTGTGCAGGAGGCAGCCACTCAATGTGTCCCTTTCACATCAATGTCTGTCTGTCTGTCTGTCTGTCTGTCTGTCTCTCTCTCTCTCTCTCTGTTCCACTCTCTCCCTCCCACTCTATCTGAACAAAAAAATGGAAAAATGTCCTCGGGTAAGGATAAATATATATAGATAGATAGATAGATAGATAGATATAGATATAGATATAGATATAGATATAGATATAGATATAGATATAGATATAGATATAGACACACACACACACATAATGGGGAAAGTGGAGAATTTATGTACCATCAGATGAGAAGTAAGTATATCTGAGAATTAACACCATTGCTTAAGGCTTGATTACAATTACAGTGCAAACAAGAGCAACTCTCTTTAAGAAAATAATAGCCCGCCCTGGCCAGTTTGGCTCAGCGGTTAAAGCGCTGGCCTGCAGTCCAGAGAGACCTAGGTTCGGTTCCCGCTAAGGGCATGTACATCGGTTGCAGTTTGTCCCCGGCGCTGGTTGGGTTGTGCAGGTGGCAGCCACTCAATATGTTTCTTTCGCGTCGATGTTTGTCTCTCTCTCCCCCTCCCACTCTATCTGAACAAAAAATGGAAAAATGTCCTCGGGTGAGGTGAAAAAAAAAAGAAAGAAAAGAAAATAATAGCCCTGGCCAGGCAGCAGCAGCTCAGTTGTTACAACATTGTCCCAGTATGCCAAGGTGTGGGTTCGATTCCCGGTCAGGACACATACAAGAATCAACCAATGAATGCATAAATTAAGTGGAACAACAAATCAATGTTTCTCTCTCTTCTTCCTTCCATTCTGTCTCTAAAATCAATAAATAAAAATAGAAAACATAAGTATTATAAATAAATCAAAACACCCAAATAAGGACATTTCAACTTCAAGGAATAATAACTAACACACCATCATTACAATATATAGGGTGGGGCAAGAGTAGGTTTACAGCTGTAAGTATATGAAAGTTTATTCTTGTATTATTATTTATTAATTATTGTATTACTTTCCTTAGAATTGTAAACCTACTTTTGCCCCACCCTGTATATACATTTTAACTCACAGACCCCCTTCCTACCCTGCCCCAATCTTCTAGTTAATTATTGGGAGTGTTCATGCTTTTACATTTAGTAACTAAGTCCAAGGTTTATTGTGGGAGATTAAAGAAAAAGGGTCCTTACTCTATTCATATAAGAAACATATGTCTATATCATGTTCCAGTTTCTGAGTATAACAATAAATTAGGCAAGTCTCCTTCCGTGAAAGGGTACAATACAGGGGAATCATAGAATGTGAAAAGTATCATTAGAGAAACAGTAACTCAGAGGGGAATTCAGAAGACAGAAAGATCACTTTCACGAGAGAAATCTGGGAATAATTCCTAAAGGGAATGTGGGCATTTGCACTAAAGCTTGTAAAATGAATGAAATTTTTATTTCTTTTTCTTTTTAAATGTTACTCTTTTAACAACTTAAAACACAAAAGAAAGGGGGACATAAGCTGAAAAGTTAAAATACTCTTTCTCATGCCATTATGGAGTCACTCTGGAGTTTCTAACATAGCCGTCAAGAAACTGTCTTTGCATACCCATGCATAAACCCTGTTGTTATCACAAATGAATTACTCGTATTTTTTTTCTTTATTTTTTTTTATCCTCACCTGAGGACATTTTTGCATTTATCTTCAGATAGAGCGGGAGGGAGAAAGGGAGGAAGAGAGACAGAGAAAGAAACATTGATGTGAGAGAGACAAATCAGCGGGTTGCCACCCACACAATCCCAATTGGGGCCAGGGACAAACTGCACAAGGTACGTGCCCTTGGCAGGAACCGATCCTGGGACTCTCTGGTCCACGGGCTGATGCTCTAACCGCTGAGTCAAACCAGCCAGTCGTATTATTTTTATAACTTTTCTCTTAATATATAGCTTTCCAAATTAACATATAAGTGAATAGAGTTCTGACATAGTTTAACCAGTTCCCTACTGTTTTGGAGTGAATGTTTGTGTCCTCATCAAAATTATGTTTAAGCACTAACCTCCAATGCAATGGTATTTGGTAGTGGGAGCCTTTGGGAAGTAAATGGGTTTAAATGAGGTATGAGGGTGGGGCCCCCATGATGAGATTCTTGTCCTTAAAAGAAAAGGAAACCAGAATTCTCTCCCTCTACTATGTGAAGACACAGTGAGAATGGCAGCTGTCTAAGAGGGTCTGCACCAGGAACCTAATCTGCCAGCACCAAGATCTGGGACTTCCCAGCTTCCAGATGTTTAAGGAATAAATGTCTGTTGTTTAAGCCACCCAGCCTATGTTATAGCAGCCAGAGTAGACTAAGACACCTATGAATGAGTTCTTAGGTTACTGTCACTTTTTGCCATTTCAAACAATGTTGCAGTGAGCTTTCTTGCTTGTCTTTACATCATTGTTTTCGTGAGACAAACTCTTAGAAATAGACTGATGGGACAAAGGGTTTACGCAATTTTTTTTCTTTATTGATTTTAGATAGAGAGGAAGGGAGAGAGAGAGATAGAAACATCGATGAGAGAGAATATCGACTGCCTGCCTCCTGCATGCCCCGCACTGGGGATAGGACCCACAACCTGGGCATGTGCCCTAACCAGGAATCGAACCGGCCACCTCTTGGTGCATGGGTCAACCCTCAACTGAGCTAAGCCACAGCAGCCAGGCTGAGCTAAGCCACAGCAGCCGGGCTGGTTTACACAATTTTTGTTGTTGTTGTTGTTGTTGTTCAGATAGAGTGGGAGGGAGAGAGAGGAAGAGGAGAGAGAGAGAGAAACATGGACGTGAAAGGGACACATCGAGTGGCTGCCACTTGCACGACCCAACCAGGGCTGGGGACAAATTGCAACAGAGGTACATGCCCTTAGCCGGAATTGAACCCCTGGGTCTCTCTGGACCGCAGGCCGATGCTCTAACCGCTGAGCCAAAGCGGCCAGGGCGGTTTACGCAATTTTTAATAGACATTGCAAAACTGCCTCCCTAAGAGATAGCACCAATTTATATTCCCACCAATAATCTGAGAACTACTATTTCCAAATGGGTAAGAAAGTGTGAAGACAGGATTGGGATACAATATGGAAAAGGAAGCAGCATGAGAAAAGGTGGGAACACAGAACTGCTCTAGGCAGAGAAGGTAGTTGGAGCACAGGACACAAGCAGTAGTGAGCTGTAAGAACCATGTGGCCAGCCTAGGAGGACCCTTAATGCCAAGCTAATGAATTTGGCTCTTTATTTAGCAAGTAATTAGAAACCACTTAAGGCTTCCAAGCAAGGAAATGTCATGATTGGAGCTTATCTTAGAGAACGGATGTGACAGCAGTGGGACAGACTCGGTGGAAGAGTAAGAGACTGTACGCGGACTAACGTTACAACTGTTGTCTTAAGGGTGAAAATACAAGGACTTGGAAATTGTATAGAAGAATCCCCTAGACTGAATAAAGGTAGGAGGCAAATGAGAGGAAAGAGTCCAGAGTAATATCAAAGTTTCAAATGAGTGACTTGGCACCATTGATATCAGACAACTAATTTTATTTATGTACATGCTTTAAGTGAGGTTAGTGCAAAAGAACCATGTCAAAGTATCCAGCAAGCAGGTGGAGGAGCAAGCTGAGAGGGACACAAGCTGCACAAATATACAAGAAAGTCATATTCATAAAAGCAACTCATGAAGGTGGCAAGTGAGGGGGATCGCTGAGGAAAAACACGACCAAGAAAGGACTGAGCACCATTTTGGGGTACCTATATTTCTGGAACAGGAGGTAAAATTCACATCCAAAGCCCTGCAGCCTTTCTCAGCTAGGGTTCTTCATCTAAGCCACAGAACACGAAACTGCTTTGAGTGACCACTTTCTCAATTCACCCAAGGATGGTGCAAACATAGGGCCATTCTGGATGCACTGCGAGTCAACCCATTACATTCACTGGGTGCTTTAGGGACATCGGGACTTAAATCGCTCTTGGAACTCGGGAGAGAAAGACTGCTGGAGGAATAGGGATGCAGTAAGGTCAACCGGCAAGCCAGAGCATTTCGTGAGTGAGTGGTTCCTAACACAGGGCACATCAAGGCTAAATTACAAAGCGAGCATCCTGACAAATTCATCCTCGACCACGAACGTGTAAGAAATAGCCAAGGAGCTGGAGCCAACGGAGAATGAATGACTTCATCAGCCGCCTCCAGCTGCCCCCGGAAAACACCGCTTCCCCCGCAGACCTCGTCTCCCTCCCACCCGCGGGGCAAGAGGCCGGCGGCTCCGCACTTCGCGCTGGGCCAGAGCCTCTGCGCCGCGGCGCCGAAGGCAGCTTGTCCCGCGGGGCGAGCCGGCGCCCACCGCTCGGTCCCCGCTGCCCGCCCCTCCCGACCACGTACCCGGCGTCGTGGGTCGGGGGGCCGCCAGCACCCCGTCCGAAGGCGGCGGCCCGGGGACACTCATATCCCTCCCGCTGGGAACACGGAAGGGGCTGTTATGTAGACAATCAGACGCAGTAAGAAGGGACCAGCGCGTCGGCGCTTGGCCGGACAGATGCAGCGGTCGGACCGGAAGTAACGGAAGCGGAAGCCGCGGACTTGGGGCACGTGGCCGCGGATCCGCGTCCGCCTCCAGTCCCGTCTGCCCCCACGGTGGTCCCCACCCCCGCCGCTCCGGGGACTTCGCGCTGACGTCGCAGTCGGGCCGAGGGCGTGGTGTCAGTCAAGTCCGCGGTGCGGGGCTCGCTTCCCTGCGACCGACTGGGGCGCGGGAGGGAGAGAAGAGGGCGGTGACCGGAAGGCGCTGCTCCCGGGGGCTCTCGAAGAGGGGAGGAGTTCTGTCGAACTGGGGGAACAGGCCGACTTGGTTCGCTGGGACCCTGCACGCACAGCTCTTCAATTTTGTATCCGCGTTAAGGCAACACCGTAAGAGCAAGGACTGCATGCCTTCCCCGCGATGTGGCCCATTAGAAAGTTCAGTGTTGAGCTCTCTGTGAGCTTCAGCCTTGCTAACGGGGGGATGGGCCAGGATTCCGATTTCCCCTAGTTGATTGTAAGTGAATGATACAAGGCCTGGGTTGCAGCATCTACTGAACGAATTTAGCCATGTTACTAGAAACTGCACTCGTTGAGATCCTGTCATAAATTTTTATGAAAAACACTTAGAAATAGGCAGAAGCAGCCTCAGACCAAATAAAACCATCAGCTACGCTCTCCCTACTGTAGACCCTCTCACATGGACTGCAATAGTGGCCTCCTAATACTGCACCCCAAACTTGCTTGCCCAAACAATTTTCTATGCTGCAGCCAAGCTGTCTTAAAAAAAAAAAAAAAAAAAAAAAGAGGATTTATGTCAAACCTCAGAAACTTACACCTGCAACCCCACTACCCTTATCTGCATTCACACCCCTTCTTTTGGCCTCCTCAAGAGTAGCTATTCCTTACTTCCTGTGGTGAGCAGAAAAATGACCACCCCAAGATGTCCCAGTCTTAATTCCCAGGACCTGATAATATGTTAAATTTCATCTAAAGGGGTAATGAATGTTACTAGTCACCTTAACATAACAAAATAGATCCTGGATTATTGAGTGGGCCCAATATAATCAATCACAAGGGCATTCAAAACTGGGAAAGGGAGGCAGAAGAGGAGAATGAGAAGGAAGATACAACTATGAAAGATGATTAGAGAGTTACAACATTGCTGGCTTTGAAAATAGAGGAAGGGGGCCACCAGCCAGGATTGTGGTAACCTCTAGAAGCTGGAAAAGGCAAGGAAACAGATTTACCCTTTGAACCTCTAGAATGGAACTCAGTCCTGCTGACACCTTAATTTTATCCCAGTGTAACCTGTATTGGACTTCTGACCTACAAAACTGTAAGATAATAAATAATTGTGCAATGCTTTAAGTTTGGGGTAGTTTGTTACCACAGCAATAGGATAGCCTTTAGGCATCTTTTGTTCCATCCAAGCTTGGAATGTCTGCAGTGCTTTTGCTCATGCTTCAGCCTGAGATATTCTGTTCAATGCCCTACTCATCTTTCAAGGCTCAGCCTAAATAATACTTTTAATTTAAAACCATTCACAATTCGCCCTGGCCGGTTTGGCTCAGAGGTTGGAGCGTCAGCCCGTGGTCCAGAGAGACCCAGGTTCAGTTCCCACTAAGGGCACATACCTTGGTTGCAGTTTGTCCCTGGCCCCGGTTGGGGTTGTGCGGGAGGCAGCCACTCGATGTGTCCCTTTCACGTCGATGTTTCTCCCTCTCTCTCTCTCTCATCCTCTCTCTCCCTCCCGCTCTATCTGAACAAAAATGGAAAAATGTCCTCGGGTGAGGATAAAAAAAATTTTTTTAATAAATAAAATAAAAGCATTCACAATTCTACCTCCCCTTTCAACTTTTAGTAATTACAGTAACAACCTTTCTCAATACAAAGCATCCTTCTGCTATTTAGCACTTAATCCATTCTTGTATTAGTCCCTTATTTCCCTTGACTTTCTCTATTAGATTGCAAACTCCAGTTATTCACAGAGAACCATAATAGATTCTCAATAAATATTTGCTGAATGAATGAAATATTAATTTTGCACCCCCAAATTCCAAGTATTAATAATTTCCAAAGTCTGAATCACACAAGATGGTGCTTGATAAACTGTCTGGTAACCTTAGTTGACTGTTGTTATCTCCCAACTAGATACTAAGGCCCTTTAGAATAGACCCATGTCCTATGGGTTGTCTGTGATCTCTTTAGCTCTTAGTATAATATCACTCATAGTACTTAGATTTTAAAATACTGGTTATTTAAATTGAATCGATGAATTTAGACTGTCACACCCTGCCTATTATTTTATCATCTTTCCCTCTCTTCTATTTTGCTTTAAGGAAAAATTCATATTAGAAAGCTTGATGAATACTCTTTTTCAGCATTCTAACTTTACTTAATGTAACAAAAATGAATCTAGTAAATAGACCAGGAGGACTTTCTACCAGACCCATCTTGGTTTTCTCTCTGCTTTTCCTTCTTTACTCCCACACATTTCAGCTCAGGGCATCGAGTGCTTGTTCAAGACCCTCTGTGCTCCAGCCTCCATTAAGCAAGTGCTGTGTACCTAACACTGCTAGTGACAGAGCCCAAAAACAGAAGATTGGAATTTGATGCCAAAAAAGTTCATTGATTTATATGTCTTTCAAAATGCCCTTTGTTTCCCCACTGGTGCCATTCTCTTTTATGCACCAAACTTATAATCCACTCCAAATAGCTGAGTACCTAAGATTAGACTAGGCACTTCAGGGTATAAAAAACAGAGTAAAAATTTTGGTTCCAGCCTACTAGGAATTTATATTATACCATTTATACATAGTAGAATTAGACAGCATGGCAGTGAAGAACTAACTTATGTGGCGTGGAGCTAGAGGACTGTAAAGGACTCAAATGACATTGAATCATTTTCCTGGGGCTGCTATAACAACCACAAACTTGGTAGCTTTAAACAACACAAATGTATTATCTTACAGTTCTGGAGTTCAGAAATCCAAAACCAGTCTCGGTGGACTGAAATCAAGGTGTCAGCAGGGATGGTTACTTCTGGAGACTCTGATGAAGAATCTGTCTCCTTGCCTTTTCCAGCTTCTAGAGGCTGCCCACATTCCTTGGCTCATGGCTCCTCTCATTGCCTTTTCTGCTCTATTACCATTGCCACATTTCCTTCTCTCCTGATTATCAGCCTCCCTCTTATTAGGACCCTTGTGATTACACTGAGCCCACCTGCATAACCCAGGAAAATTTCTCCATCTCAAGAGTGTGGGAAACTTTTTGCAAGGCATCCATTTTGTTAAAATCTGCTCTGCCATCTCCCGCCCCAAGGCAGGATATCTCTGCATACAGTGTTCCTGCATTCCTTTAAGTAACCATTTACTCAGCCAGTTATGCTCTGTTTATCTTTTGTTCCACCCAGGATATTTACTTGAAATTGCTTCAGGGTGGTTACACAAACTTATCGCTTGGCAACAAATGTTCTTGTTTTTCTGCTTCTTGCCTTATATAAAAGGAGACTTGATCAGAACCCTGTCTTGTCTCCATTTCTTGTGTCTCTTGTCCCTCCTCATCCTCACTTCCCCTCTAGAGTCCTCGTTGCTCGACCTGCGGGATGGGTCACAAGGGCCTTCATTTAACCAAATCTGCAGAGTTCCTTTTGCCATGTCAGGTAACATTCACCAAATCTGGAAAATTGAAAGTGGACATTTTTCGGGGGAGGATGGCATTATTCAGCCCACCACAGATGTGCAACTGTGTAGTAGGGCACAACTGAGAGTAACAAGAGAAATTTTTAAAACTTAATAGAGAAAATGAACTTAAACTGTACCTTGAAGGACAGGTCAGATGTAATATGCAGAGAAACACTAGTAAAGCCTTCCAACAGAAAAACACCATAAGTAGTAAAAGTATACTTCACCCTGGCCGTTTGTCTCAGCCAGTTAGAGTGCTAGCCCGAAGACGGAAGGGTCAGAGGTTTGATTCCCGGTCAAGGGCACGTACCTGGGCTGCAGGTTCGATCCCCAGCCCTAGTCGGGGTCATATGGGAGGCAGCCAATCCATGTGTCTCCCTCACATTGGTGTTTCTCTCTCCCTCTCTTCCTTCCACTCTATCTAAAAAAAAAAAAAAATCAATGGATTAACAAACAAAAAAAGTATACTTCCGACTAAAGGACCTAAAAGTACTAATAACTATCTTTTGGAGAAGACAGTAATACAGATTAAGTGGCTAGTAAAAGAACTTAATGGAGAAATGTGTTATATAGTCGTTTAAACCAAAAGAACATAAGACAAAAAATAACACAAAATGTAGTCATACAGCTCTGAAAAAGATAATCCAAAGAAATGATATCCAGAAAGATTTAAACACTGTGTATATTCATAGCAAAAGCAAAATAAGTCCATTGGATTCCAAGGACTTTGAAATCCAAAAGAGGGAGAGCAAATAGAATGCAATAAATACTCCCAAACTATTTATCCACCTTTCGGTTTTGCTGTTTTCCTTAAATTTTCCTGTATCTTTTATTTTTGCTAATCAACACAGACTAGGTAGGAGGGAGATTCAAGTAGAGAAAAAAATGTTAATACATGAATATTTTCTGTTTCTTTTATTGATCAGGATGTCCTACATTTAAAGTGCGCTAAGATTTGATAAAATCTACCCCAAGTTTGGCCTACTTCTCTTACAGGATTCACTTCCCCTCTTCCCTTTATCTCTCTCCATCCTTTTCCAAAATTAAGAATAAAGGTAGGGGGAGCAGAAATATTTGAGTGAGAAGGATGTAGGGACCAGGAACTGCAGGGAAAAGGGATGGAAAAAAGGTAAGATATACAGAAGAAAGACATTACAGCCCATGGCCTTATGCTTCTAATAGATTCAAGTGTTGATAATTTGAACACATTTATATAGGGTACTGTGCTTACAAAATAATAAAAAAGAAAGGAAAGGACATAAAGGTAGAAAATCAGGGAAGTTGGATAGCAAAGAAAAATCATTTATCATTTTGCCTCTGAAAAT